GGCTCGAGCTCCTCTTTCGCCGACAGTCGGCTTTTCCCGCACGATCCCTGCAGCTCAGTCGTGCTGCAGGTTGTTGTTTTTTCAGGCTTCACAGTCCAATCTTCCATATGACGTGGACACCTTCTACTCCGAGCGGGACCGGTACGAAGGGCAAGGGCAAGGACAAGGGCGCCAAGGGCAGCTCGAAGTCCAAGCCGCCAGCCGATCAGGGGACGCAGCCACCAACGTCCCCAACCCAGAGCTGGGCGTGCCCGCAGTGTGTGGCAAGCAATCACCTGCGCCTTGCTTTCTGCAAGATGTGCGGAGTGCATTGGCAGACGACGGCGCCGAAGATCCCGCCACCGCCCAAGACTGCGGGCACAGATGACCCGATGGCGGGAAGCGGTGGCACGACGGAGCCGCCATGGGTGAATCATGGTCAGCAGATGACGCGATGCCAGCAGTTGCTCGACAGCTTGGGCAAGGCTACGGAGACCGAGGGGTGCACCATCGCGAAGGAGAAGGTAGAGGAGGCGATCGAACACCTCTGACAGGAACGAGATAACTCCAAGACGCCGCAACAGCTCCTCATTGTTGCCAACCAGAAGCTGCTGAAGGCCCAGACGGCGATGAGCAAGCACGACGCCAACATTGGCAAGTACCGTGACCAGATCGCCGCCTTGGAGAAGACGATCGAAGAGAAGAGGTCCCTCATCGCGGACGAGGAGACCCAGATTTCAGAGTGCCAGCAGAAGATCGCGGAGCAGGTCGCCGTGGTCCAGAAGCTGGCGCCGTCGCAGACAGCACCTGAAGCGGCACAACCGCCAGCTCAGGGAGCAGCTGCCCAGAGGCAGGCCGTCGGATCGATCGATTCCCTCTTGGGCGAGTTGAACGCTTTCCAGAGCCACCTCTCGGGCAACGAGAACCAGGTCCTCATCGGCCCCATGCAGACGCTCGTCGCGACCATCCAGCAGGTCCAGCAGCAGGCGCGGGCAGAGTCAGCGGCGGCAGAGGCGCAGAGGATGGCGCAGGAGGCTGCAACGGCCATGCCTGCGGCCTCTGCGCCCGCGGGGGCGGATGGCGTCGCCGCCGCCCCGCCAGCCGCGACAGCCGCGGCTTCGCGGCCACAGCAGACGCCGCCCCAGCAGCCTGCGAGCCCTGCGGGCGGCGGCCAGGGCAAGGGGGCCAAGGGCACGCACATTGGTGATGGCAAGGGTGCCCCCACCGACAGACGCAGGAGCCGCAGCCGTGAGCAAGGAAGAGACGGCGATGGCAATGATCATTGACTAGCCCAAGCCGGCCCTGTGGCCGAGGTTCCAGTACAAGTCAAAAGGATCCAAGACGAGCGAAGGTCTCATCATTCTCACCGTGAATGGCTCGGGCTGGGGCTCAGCCAAGCGTATCATCATGAGCTCCAACGCGCACATCGTGCTGGTGCAGGAGCACAAATTGCAGGGGCAGCCGCTCCTTGAAGTTCAGGCTTCGATGAGAAAAGCAGGATGGATATCATTCTGGGAGGAGGGCCACCACACGGGGGTTGGAATGTCCGCTGGCGTTGCGATTTTGGTCAGGAGTTATCTTGACGCATGGCAGCCTAGTGATTCCAGTGCGTGGCCACACAGAGTGATTAACATACATGTTCGTTTCAAGCATCTCGGCGTCATCAGCATATACTCCAACTACTGGAAGGACAGTGTTGGGCTGAACGGCGAGAACACCGCTATTGCTCAGGCCCTGGGAAACCATATCCTATCCAAGGGCCTCCCTTTCATCTCGGGGGGAGATTACAACCTCGAACCTCACGTCGTCAAGACTGCCCTTCCCCCTCGCAAATACAAAGGTCGAGTGATCATCCCAGTGCCTGAGGTAACTTGCGTTTCAGGCAGTGCGCTCAAGTGCTACGACTATTTCACGGTCTCGTTTGCGCTTCAGCATGCCATCAGGGACTCCATCACGGACATGGAGGCCCAGCTGGCCCCTCATCGACCAGTGCTCCTCAGGCTCAAGGAGAACCCAGGGGCCCAAACTGTTCTTCGTCTCGCTCATACGCAAAGGCCCCCTGCTGTGGTTCCTGTGGGCCCCCGACCCAGAGCACCAGATTATGGCCAGGACTCCATAGATGTGATTCTAAAGGATTTCAAAGAGCCCAACGGGGAGGGGTACATGTCACCGAAGACAGATGCTGAGCACCAGAAGGTTCAGGAGGCTTTGGACGGGGCTGCGCGGGGCTGGCATCGAACTTATCGGGGCGAGCTGCAGGACATATTTCAGAGTTATCCTGAGAAGGGGGCTCCTGGAGGCACCGAGTACGAGTTTGAATCAGTTCCGTTCCTGCGTCTTTTGGCCACCAAGCAGCATCTTTGTCGCTCGGGGCACCGAGCACTAGTATGGCTTCACCATCGGTGCCGCGAAGCTGTTTCACCCCTCCGCGCCGGCAGGACATGGGAGGACCAATGTCTCAACCAGCTCTTCGGATCTTTGCAGCGGGCAGCCAGAGGTCCACCAGGTCCTCTCCACTTTCACCTTGGGGAAGAGGGCGGCCCCTATTGGGGCCGTTAGTTGGGCGCTTTCGTTTCGGACATCCCCCCAGCCACGCTGGACTCATCCAGGGGCTCGAGTCGTTGGGGTCGGAGGCGGGGGAGGTGGCCCATCAGCATCTCCCTCTGGGAAAACGCGAGTCTCGTGAGAGCTGGAACAAACGGTGTGATCAAGCATTGGAAGGAGGCTAAATGTGGACATGCTTATATTAAGATTGCGGAGGAGAGGAAGGAGCAGGTTTTCCACGTCTGTGAAGATGGACACCCGACGGCGTGTCCGACAGCAGCCTTAGCCTCTCAAGCTGATCTCTGGTCGGAAGCATGGAATGCACAACCGACTCTCAAGGAGACCCCGCTCAAGTGGCCAGGCCTTCGCATCCCCAGGGCCCCGTCAGTTGACGAAATCCGCCAACTCCCCCTCTCCTTCAAGACCCACGCCATCGACATAGACGGATATCAGCCCCGCCGCTTTGCTGCCTTATCGGACGGGGCCCCGGACATCCTCAGGCAGATTTTTGTGCTCATCAGATTGTGCGGGGATCTGCTCACGCGGATGCGGATCCTGATTGCTCCGCTGTTCGCCAAGCCGAAGAAAGGCTTCCGTCCCACCGGCTTCTACCAGAGTCTAGGCCGACTTATTTCGAAGTGGAATGCCCAAGAACTGCAGAAATAGGAGGTTATGTTGCATAAGTGGCGCGTTCAACATGGCACCGCACAGACACGCAGCGGACGGGGTCTGGAGACAGGCGATCAGGGGGGACACAGCACGCCTGGACCATGAGCACATTCTAAGCGTCATAGGTGATCTTAGGCAATGTTATTAGCATGTCAGACATGAAGGCCTCGAGGACGCAGCCATTAGCTTCGATTGCCCACTTCATGTCTTACAATATGCGGTAGCGACATATACATGGCCACGTGTTTTAGTCTTGGCTGGCCAGGCCTCTCCGAAGATTAACCCGCGGCAGGGCGTCGTGGCAGGTTCCAGCACAGCCACCTTCGAGATCAAGTGCCACATGCTTCCAGCAGTGTCGAATTACTCAGGCCAAGAGTTGGGGCCCAGTCTAACGATTCAGATTGACGACGCAGGCCTTAACCGCAATGACTATTCCATGCCCCCATCTCATTGGCCAGATGAGGGCAGCCATGGCTTTCCTGCTTGGCAGTTTCGCGAACGACTTAGGCCTGCCTTTTGCGACCGACAAGTTTAATATGACGGGCAACTCTGGGCTGCTCCTTCGCCGATCAGTCACTAGGCTTGGCATCTGTGCCGGGCCAGAGTGAGGAGAACCTGCCATCGTCAACCTTGGATGCCTGGCAAGAACCGCGCGCAGCCCCGAGTCCAGAAGAAACGTCAGACCAGGTGGAAGACGGCCAAAGTCAGGATCCGAAAGATGGTGGCTCTTGGTGGGCCCAAAGCCAGGAAAGCCCAGTTTTACGTATGTGGTGTAAAACCAGGGCTTACTTATGGTGAAGAAATCGCGGGTTGGTTTCCTGGGGCAGTCGAAAGTATGAGAAGACACGGAGTTGCTGCGCTAGGTCTCTCGTCTGCAGGAACCAACCTCCAGCTGGCTTGGTCCTTGGGCCCAGACAAGGACCCGTTGTCTCATGCAGCGGCAAGCTTATACATATGTTGCAGAGAGTGGTGGATGGCCACCAACACCAAGCTGAGGGCCCACGACGGCCTCTCCCCGCTGGAGCTCAACCAGGCCCTCGACAAGGCTAAGCAGCACTTTGAGGACCTCCCCAAGAACTCCAGCTGGGCCAAGAAGAGCTTCGGGGTCGTAGGTGGCATGTTCTGCTGGGTCCAGGAGGCTTCTTGGAAAGTTATTCATGCGGCAAGGATTAGGCGCCCCAGCGGGTTCGAGTTCCTCCTCACCGAGACCCCCCCCCCCCACGCACACACACACACACACACACGCACGCACCACCACGGTCAAAGCGCACCGCACGGAAGATCTCAAATTGGCTCTGTTGGCCCCCGAGGTCCTCGAGAGGCTCCCTGGCTTGGAGGTGGCCCGCGAGACCGATCAGAGCTCGGAGGACATCAGAGACAGGGGCCTCTGGACTCTGCCGCCCAAAACATTCTGGAAGAGCACCGAGAGGCCACCCAGGCAACGTCAGATTGAGTCATATTGTTAGGCGCATATTTTGCGACATATATATCACGGCGGCGAAGCTCCACAGCTGGGGCTACCAGGTCTCACCGTTGCGCAGCCTGTGCAAGACCCGCCCCGACTCGGCGTGGCACCGCGCCTTCGAGTGCGACGCGAAGGTTGAGGAGAGGGCAGGCATTGTAGACGATGCTTTGCCGCGAGGGGCCCTCGCCGCAGGACCAGATGATAATCTCTTTGGGAAACTCTGGATGCCTGTTCCTGAGATCAAAGCCCAACCGATCACTGACGAAGTTGCTGAATTCCTGGACCCTTCGGGCTCCACGGGGCCTGTTCTGTTCGAAGAAGGTGATGCAATCCTCTCGGATGGAAGGTGTTATGGTCCTAAGTTTTCAGGCTCAGGAGGCTCCCGTGCAGGCTGGGCGGTTGTGGCAACCGACGAGGTCGGGGCCTTCAGGAAGGCGATGTTCGGGCCCGTGCTTGCCTTCCTCAGCCAGACGCCTGGCTTTGCAGAGCATCTCGCAGTGCTTCGTGGCCTCATGCAGGCCAACCCGACCATGTCAGTGTTTGGAGCTCGTGTGGACTGTGCGGCCCTGTTTGAAGGAGTTGGCCTACCGTTCAAGAGTATCGATGGATCAACCAGTTCAGCATATGTCTGGAGAAAAGTTGACGAAGGTAACTTCCCCGCTCTGACCTTGACCTAGGTAAAAGCCCACACGAAGATCACTGATGATACTGACCCTGGGACGGCACTAAATATTCGTGGCAATGAACTAGCAGATGGATATGCTAAGCGAGGAGCCCTGATGCATCCTGATGCCCAGACTTTAGAAGTCCGTTTCACGATTCAGTATGATAGGTGGCTTTCAGTAGCCAAAGCTATGAGTATAATGCTAGAACTATGGCCTGGGTCCAAGGAGCTGTATGGGGACCTAGCCCGTGTAGCCCGTGCTCGGACCCCCAGGCCCCCCATAGCTGGCCCCGCTCAAACTTGTCTCTGGAATGGGACCAGGTGGCAGTGTATAGCGCGTGCCCGCTCATTCGCACGTCCTCCCAGCAGCAGCAATATATGTGCTAGAGTAACTCCGAGATTGCTTGCGCTCGGGGCCCCTCGGGATGGTCCTGGGGAGCCGCACCGTCTCTGGGTCTCACGTTGCTTCGAGACGGGGCTCGGACTTGTCTTCTTCAAGAGATGCGGAGCATACTGTTCAGGCGCGCCCCCCAAGCTGCTCGCCCCCTGCGATAAGGTCTTCAAAGCCCAGAAGAGGACCTTGGAGGCGGGGAAGTTGCCGTGGCCGAAGGACCACCACATCAGCAAGCCCTGGCCCCTCAAAGCGGGGGTGGCGGAGTGGTGGAAGTACGCGGAGGCA